TCCTTGATTGATATATTCACACATATCCTCAAAATTCAACTATGAGCCATTAAAAATGTTGTCACTTCTCTGTTTCCAAATAGACCAGAGCACAACCAGGGGAATGGCTTTCCATATCAATTTCTCCTGTTTTTTAAGTTTAGTACCAACTCACCAATGAAATAAGCTACTCACAGACCCAGGCATTGCCCATTGTAAACCCTACAAACTAATGATATTGGACCAAATCTACCAGACAAAAGGACAGAACAACAACACATGGTTAACACTCTCTACTTCATCGTTGCAAAAACTGCAATTCACATTTACTTCATCACTGAGAATTCCAATTCTTTGAAGATAACTAGAGGTTTTTATCCTCCATTTCCAAAGCTAGCCATCCAAAGAACTGAGCCTTAGGTGGGAAAGCATTCTTCCAAATAGAGTCTACCACTCTGCTAGTAATTCCAAAACCCAGCTCACACCACATAGGCTGAGGAAACAGTGAATATACCTGATGGACCTAAATTCCACTTCAAGCTATCAACCATATCTCCTTTACAACAGGTGCACTAAGCAACATCATTTTTAGCCTCCTCAATTCCTTCACCTCCTATTAAAAGAGAGATCTTGTGAAATTCAGATTTCACTCCTCATTGCCATTTCTCACAAAATTATATAGCGAAAAAGTTGGGATTTGAAACCAAGACCTTTGGTCTGGTAGACAAGACCCAAACCATTAAAACCATTGAAACAAAATTATATGGAGAAGATATTAAGACTCAAAACCAAGACCTATCATTAAATCAACAACCTATACATATGAGCCTGGTTGAAATCTCACTATTCAGGGTTGGTTTTGAGATCGACTATTTTAGTTGGTTTTTTAATTTTTTTACTAAAAGACTTGTAAAAAAAAATATAAAGAGTGATATGATAATTTGTAATGACTTTTGATTATATTAGCCACTCCCCACAATTCGTGAAATTTAAAAATAAATCACCTTATTTGGTTTGAATCTCTTTTTAGAAAATTGAGCTTTTTATTTTTTGTAATTTTTTTTTGTTTACCCTCAATTTTTTTAATATGTTAAATAAATATTTTTGTTTTTAAATACATCTAATATAAATACACTTAAAAAGTTTAATATTTGTGAAGAAAATATTTACATAATTCACTAAATATAAAAAATATATAAAAATTTAGTACATTTTCATATTCTTGTATATTTATTGATTTTTAAAATATTTTTATACGAATATTTTACATTTTAGGTATATCTAGGTTAGATGTATTTAAAAAGTAAAAAATTTACATAAAATATTAAAAAAATTCACTAAATATATATATTTTTTAAAAAGAAGTCAATTTTCAGAAAATTAAAAAATTGAAACCAAATAAGGTAAATAATCTTTTATAAATTATAATTGATTGCTTTATGTTATACAAATTATTTTAAAATGTTTTGAAAATAATTTTTAAAGTGTATATACACAAAATTACTTTAAAAAATATATAGTAATGTATAGAATATTTTTAGAACATCTCCAACGGTGTATCAATTTTTTCATCAAATTTTAGTAAATGCTTCATTTCATATCAAGTGTTCTAACCGAGGATTTAGAGCTTAATCAGAACACTGGTCAACTGGGAGATATCCGGGGGACATCCGGCTAGTCAACTGGCCAATTTTTTTTTTTTTTTTTGTTCATGTGGTCAATCGGGATGTTGATCGGCTAGTGCAATTTTTTCACAATTTTTACCTTGAGGTGATCATTCGGGGGACATTAGGGGATGTCCGGCAACGGTAATGAACAGTGATTTGATGAAAGGTATATTGATCCTCAATTTGATGATAGAAAAGTGAAATTTTTAATTTGATATTTATTTGATGCAACCGTTGGAGTAGTAAAAAGACTTTGTTTTCATCAAATTCAAATTTGATGAAAATTTGAATAATTACTAGAGATGGTCTTAGTCATGCTATAAAAAAAGCGTTTGTATATCAACCTTTATTATTTATATCTTGCATAGTCTAGTTTGAAATCTTTTGCTTGTTTGACATATAGGGTTTGGACTAAAATAGTTACAAAAGAATAGATTAAAAAATCAATAAGATAAAATATCACATCAAAACCATAATCATTTCATTTTTTTCTCACAAAAATCAAAAAAGTCAAAAAACTTATTTTAAACGAGATTTTTTAACCCCAGACCGGTGGTTTGGGATGTTCTAAGGGGTTGTTTGGGGTGTCCTAAATAAGTGCACTTTTTATTTTTTTGGACTAAAAAATTGAGGAAAAAAATATGGATGTTTGAGTTAACTTTTTGACTTTTTATGGAAAAATGTGTATTAAAAAATTGTATAAATTAGTTTGTGGGGAAAAATTAGGATCGAGAGTTGTGCAGCCGTAATTTTTTACTTTTGGTAAATAATGATAACTTTTTAACTTTTTGAGTAACTTTTTGACTTTTTGGCAATTTGCTTACCTTAGCCACAAAATTATATAGCGAGAAGGTTGGGACTTAAAATCAAAACCTTTGATCTGGTAGACAAGACCCAAACCATTGAAACCATTGAAGCAAAATTATATAGAGAAGATGCTGAGACTCAAAACCAAGACCTACCATTGAATCAACAACCTATATATATGAGTCTGATTGATAAAATCTCACTATTCAGGTTGATTTTGAGAATTGACTATTTTAGTTGATTTTTTAATTTTTTTACTAAAAGACTTGTAAAAAAAATATATAGAGAGTGAAGTGATAATTTGTAGTGATTTTTAATTATATTAGCCACTCCCTTAACAATTCACAAAATTTAAAAATAAATCACATTGTTTGGTTTGAATCTTTTTTTTTTGAAAATTAAGTTTTTTGTTTTCTATATTTTTTTTTGTGTCCATTGAATTTTTTTAATATTTTAAATAAATTTTTAAATACACCTAATATAAATACACTTAAAAATTTTAATATTTGTAAAGAAAATATTTAAATAATTCACTAAATACCACAAATATAAATATATATGTATATATATATATATAAATTTAGTATATTTTCATATTCTTGTGTATTTATTGATTTTTTAAAATATTTTTACGAATATTTTACATTTTAGTTACATCTAGGTTAGGTGTATTTAAAAAGTAAAAAAATTACATAAAATATTAAAAAAAATACAACAAAAATAACACGAAAAATAAAAAATAAAAAAAGGTCAATTTTCAGAAAATTTGAGTATAAAAATTGAAACCAAATAAAGCAAATATATTTTATAAATTATAATTGATTGCTTTACGTTATACAAATTATTTTAAAATGTTTTGAAAATAATTTTTAAGTGTATATACACAAAATTACTTTAAAAAATATACAGTAATGTATAGAATAGTTTTAGAACATCTCCAACGGTGTATCAATTTTTTCATCAAATTTTAGTAAATGCTTCCTTTGATATCAAGTGCTCTAACCGAGGATTTAGAGCTTAATTAGAACATTGGTCAACTGGGAGATATTCGGGGGACATCCGGCTAGTCAACTGGCCAATTTTTTTTTTTTTTTTTTTTTTTTTTTTTTTGGGGCCCTTGCAGATTGACCGGCTAGTGCAATTTTTTCACAATTTTTACCTTGAGGTGGTCATTTGAGGGACATTAGGGGATGTCCAGTAACAGTAATGAACAGTGATTTGATGAAAGATATATTGATCCTCAATTTGATGATAGAAAAGTGAAATTTTTAATTTGATATTTATTTAATGCAACCGTTGGAGTAGTAAAAAGATTTAGTTTTCATCAAATTCAAATTTAATGAAAAAGTTGAATAATTACTGGAAATGGTTTTAGTCATGCTATAAAAAAAACGTTTGTATGTCAACCTTTATTATTTATATCTTGCATAGTCTAGTTTGAAATCTTTTGCGACATATAGGGTGTGGACTAAAATAGTTATAAAAGATAAAATAGATTAAAAAATCAATAAGATAAAATATTATATCAAAATTATAATTATTTTATTTTTTTCTCACAAAAATCAAAAAAGTCAAAAAATTTATTTTAAACGAGATTTTTTAATCCCAGACCGGTAGTTTGGGATGTTCTAAGGGGTTGTTTAGGGTGTCCTAAATAAGTGTACTTTTTATCTTTTTGGACTAAAAAATTGAGAGAAAAAACATGGATGTTTGAGTTAACTTTTTGACTTTTTATGAAAAAATGTGTATTAAAAAATTGTATAAATTAGCGTGTGGGGAAAAATTAGGATTGAGAGTTGTGCAGTCGTAATTTTTGACTTTTGGTGAATAATGATAACTTTTTAACTTTTTGAGCAACTTTTTGACTTTTTGGCAACTTGCCAAACTTGGCCTTTTTTGACTTTTTATAAAAAAAAAATGTGTAGAAAAATAAAAAAAGTAGTTAGAAAAGTAAAGATCAGATGTTGATTAATGTCACCCACATAAGTATATGTAGGTAAAAAAAAAAGTACATTTTTTTAATTTATCCCAAATATCTACTAAAATAATTAAAAAATTAAAAAATAAAAAGTCAAAAAGACAATTCACATTCCCAACGAAGATTTTATCAACAGTGGAAACCAAAAAATTATTGCCCAAGGTCGGAAATATGAGCAGCAGTGGCAGTCAAAAGTGATGAAAACTTGATTAATTTATCTAAAAAAAGTTGATATTCTTAAACTAACAAACATATTTTAAATTAATACAAAATATTTTCTAAGAAGTTGATTACTAATTTTTTAAATATTTTTGTTGTACTTGTTAAATTTTTTAAAAATAGAAATATTTTAACTTTTAAATAAATTTAAGTTAATTGCATTCTTCTTCTTTTTTTTAAATTTTTTTCTTTTTAATAACTGAAGTGAATTGCATTTAAAAAATAAAAAAATGTTACTAAAAACAAACTCTAAAAAAATAAATTTAAAAAATTCAAAACCAAAATTTCAAATTTCCCCTCCATTTCCCCTTCTCCGGCCTAAGGAGAGAGCTGAGGGAATAGGAATTAATCACACACACACACACACACACAGAGATATATATATATATATATATATATATATTTCTGGTTTCGATTTGGAATTGTAATCAAATGGAAGAAGACGAAGGCGTGAAAGCGATCACAATTTCCGAGCTCCTCCACCGTTCTTGCCCCCTCGCCGGCGCGTCATCTCTCACTCGCCGCCGCTCCGTATTTCCTGCTTCCGCTCCTACCAAGCCCCTTCCTCCCAACCAAAACCCTAGCCCTAACCCTAACCCTAACCCCCTTCCTCCCAACCAAAACCCTAACCCAAACCCTAGAATCCTAAAATCTTTGAATCACCCAACAGTCATCATCGGAACCCTAACCCTCCCTTCCCTCCACAAGCCTTCCACTTCAAATTCAACTCTTCATTGCCCCAAAACTACCTGCTTTTCATTCTCCGATGGTTCCTCTACCGTATGTTGCGATGTTCTTGACCTCGACCTTCGCATCATCGGAAGAAAGATTCGCGTTCTGGCTTGGAATTTCATTCCTTTCAAATGCGGCGGCGGTTTCTTGGAAATCATCAGTTGGAGATTTCCAGAAACTTCTACTGGATCAAATGTGTTTCCTTTGGTTTCAGGTTCTTCCATTGATTATAAGGACAGTTTAAAAGCTTGCTATTGTCTTCGCGGAGGGTTAGAATCGGTTAGCCCTGTTTCGGTTGTTCCATGTGCAACTGGGGTTAATTCTAGTGATTCAAAAAATGTTTCTGGGTTTCTTGTGCAAATTCGCGTTTGTGAATGCAAATTGTGTAGTATGAAAGACCCTGTGATGGGTTTGAAAGATCAGACTAAAAGACTGAATAATAGTCATTGTTTTACTAAACCTCTGATTATGTACTTTTGTGGGTATGCTTCGTCATGGCATCCTGTAATTTCAAAATTGATTGGTGAAGTAGTTTTGATTTCAGGGTTGAAGAAGAAATTGGTTTTTATAGGAGAGGAGGAATCTCAGTTGATGTATGTGACTACAGAAAAAACTTTGTTGCATCTCTCCAATTTTATTGATAGATGGCTTCCACTTAATAAGACTGTAATTAAGGGTAGGGGTGAATTTGGGGTGTATACTGGCACTATCACAGGCATTTACATGCGGGGCATGGTTATTGAGTTGGACCAAGAAGTGGTGTTGTTACTAACAGATCAGCTACTTGCTCCGCCGCATAGTCTCAGAGTTGGTGCTATTGTATGTGAAATAGCTTCTTGATTTCATTGTTTTGAATAATTCCCTTTAGTAAATTCTTAGGCCTATTTAATGTCTAGTGTAGATACTATATGCACTATTGGGGTTCATGGTACGACTTTCCTAACAGATGGTTCTTTTGCAGGTATCTATGAAAAATGTCCATTTTGTGAATCCAAAATTTTCTTGGACAAAAATGCTTGTACTCGGGGCTTGTTTCAAAACTAGTGTTAGTCTAAAATCCTTTTCCCCATTTGAAAGTGGGTAAGAGCTTCTGAATTGGATTGTGATGCTATCTATCAAGAGTACATATCATGTGAATTTTACACAGCTCTGCTAAAACTCAAGAGGGTTGTGTGCTGCAGGTGTTTGATATATTCTCATTCTCATAGCCTTTTGGGGAAGTTTATTAACTCATTACCTTTTTCTGTGAGACTATGGTAAGGAAGTATTCTATGCTGCTAAAAAGTTACTCCTGGCATTCTAATATTTGTTAACTTGTTTGCTGCTTGAATTTCAGGGTATTACTTCTTGTCTCAGGTTTCAGGAAAAAGTTCTCTGGGATTTTATCCGAGAAGGAGATCTTGGGATCAAAACATGTAATTTATACTTGCTTTGGATATACATAATATAGTTTGTGTTGGAATGAAGTTTTATATTTTACGTTGTAGCCCTTTTCTTCCTTCCATTTTTCATGAAATTTTATGATAAGCTAATATGGACAGTCACAAGGTGTAACCAGAAGGAAGGACTGGCTCAGTCATATGCTATTTCACATTTACCTTCATCAGTGTTTCGATCACGGGTAAATTTGGTTAATGTGCTGTTAGTTAAATGAAATGTACACTTTTGATTTCTATTTTGTTCTCACTTTCCACAATGACATTCTTTTGGCAGCATGGAGTATTTAGAGAATTCTGTAAGCATGACTTATGTGGCTGTGGCAATGAACCAAATTATGATAAAGTGAAATTGGTAAGAATCAGGGATATGAATTTTTTTTTTAATTCGTTGCTCAGCATATTTTGTGTAATCTTGGTTATTGGGGTCTATCCTTTTTTCTGGTTAGTTGTGACTGCTTAACAAGTATTGGATAATAAAGTTTTCGTGCTTCTTCCATTCTTTCAGGTGGTACCCTTCTCTAATTTTATAGGTCATTGTGAGGCTACATGGATGAAAATGCTGTTGGAATGGGAGAATGATTTTGATTTGACATACATCTCTGAAAAATATAGCCATCTATCCTGTGAAGGGTTATCTCATAGTCAGTCTACTAGGAGGATTTTGCACAGTGAAGACATGGGTGTTGTTTTGGTTGGACAGGTGAAGGTTAGTTGCCTAATTTTATTTCATTTTAACTTTTTATGACAACGATCTGTGCCCTTCTGTGAACATTCTCTGTCATATGCAACTTGTTTGCTTATGCACAAATAAAGTATGTCATACTTCCATAGTTGGACATTACTAGGTATGCAGAGTCAGGGACGGATGCAAGATTCTAATGTCGGGGGGGCGAGTGTAAATGCAATTAAAAAATTTGTAATAAGCATGTGATATACAATATCCATTTCTATCCAAATGTCATAAAAATATATAATTAGATGTTTTCATTCATGGTATATAATTATAAAATATTATCAAAATACAATTGGATATGTTCTACTAAGTCCATATTAATTTTCAAAAAAACAACTATTTGCTCAACATATCTACTTAGGCATCTAAAGTTGTGCTCGACCAGGGGCAGACGCAGGATTCTAATGTGGGGGGGCAGGTGTATATGTAATTAAAAAATTTGTAATGAGCATGTGATATACAATAACCATTTCTACCCAAATATTATAAAAATATATAATTAGATGTTTTCATTCATGGTATATAATTACAAAATATTATCAAAATACAATTAGATATGTTCTAGTAAGTCCACATTAATTTTCAAAAAAGCAGCTATTTGCTCTACATATCTACTTAGGCATCTAAAGTTGTGTTCGACGTTCTTTCATAATATAAAAAGCATCTATAGTGGAATCTACATCAAAATCTCGAGCAATGTTTTTCGCAACATATGTTAACAAGTAGCTTGAAAGAAAATCATCTTTCATCCTGTTGCACAATCTAATCTTTACAATTTTCATGGCCGGAAATGCACGTTCTAGGTAGGCTTCTTTGTGTTTTGGATCACTGGTTCTAATGATTTGGGTTCACCAGTTGTGAAATAAGAGAGAGAAGAGAAGCTTCTTTGTTTTGAATATATGATGACTGCTCTAGGTAGGCTACTGCTGTCTACATATGATTGAGACTTGTATCTTCTTGAGTATAATTTTTTTTATTTTTTATTTAGTTATAAGCAAACAACTAAAAAATTTGGGCCCTAATCAGACAAAAAGGACTTTGACATATTAACAAATAAATTCTCAATTATTTTAACGTTACTAAATTTAAAATAAAAAAGTAATCATACTTCAAAAATAAATTATTATTATTATTATTATTAGTATTTATCAAAAAATAAATATATTTTTAAATTTTAAAGTACAAAATTTAGAGGTGGCGGTTCTTAAATTTTTTGCAAAAACTTTGGGGTGGCGAACCTATATAATTTAAAAATATTTGTAATTTTATTACTATTTCTAGGGGTTTTTTTTCAAAACTTTGGGTGGCGGTCGACCTTGCCAGCCCTCCCTCCCCCCCTAGTCCATCCTTGTGCAAAGTGTGAAAAGGGATGAGGCAGAAGGCAACTGTTAATAGAAGGGATTTTTTTTTTATTTTTTATTTTTTATTTTTTTATTTGGGTGGGGGTAACTATTGAGGAAAAGAGGTCAAATGTGGAACTAATGGAAATTTGCTTTTGTTCTTTTTTGGTATTTGCATTGATCAAGAAAAAAGAGGCCAGTCATGTTTCAATCTGTACTATAATGGTTACTCTTGAAGAGATTAACTAGGCACATTAAAGCTATTTTTTACACATTATGGCGCAAGATAACTTGTGCGAAGTAACTAAATTTCTTCAGATCTAATAATGCTCGGGTGTTCATTCAGATTTCCCCATCTTCTGGAAGGTTGCAATTGATTGATGTAACAGGCAGCATTGACGTCATTATACCAGACCTCCCATCAACTTGGAATATCAACAGCATATATGAGGTAATCCTAATTTTTTTTGCTTCATCTTGTAAAGTAGCTATGTGGAATTTGATTAAAGGTGCAGGGCATTTTATTTAACAACTTAGACTCTCTTAAGATTGTTTTGCCTCCCTCAGGTAAATGAATTCTCGCTTGTTATGGAAGGCATACCTAAAAAAGTGGATTGTTCGGGATTACACCTCAATGAATCATTCCTGTGCAAAAATATTTTTAGTAGCATTCCATTGAGGAGAGAGATAAAGCTAGCAATTTACCTTCTCTACCATTTTAGGGACACAAAACTTAGAAATCAACCATTCCATTCTTGCGTCAAGGGTAACAGAAACTTTGATGAGCTTCAAAGTGGAAGATTTCACCTGCTTTTAGTAACACATAAATATCCTGTGCAACAAAAGGTATGCTGCTTTTATATCTTTGTGCCTTCGTTGATAATCTTCAATATTCTTGAATGAAAACAACCCAACTCAAGCCAAACTCTTCCCCTGCCCAACTGCCCCCAAAAGGTTCAAACAAAAGTGGATAGTAACAATTCTGTCTTATTAATTTGTTCATTGAGTTAAATTGTTTTATATGCTTTCTCAGTTTCAAGGTCAAGAAGTTATTTCAAACAGTTCAACCATGTTTGCTGAGGCATTTACCCTGCCTTGGGATCTTTTTATTGTTGGGAAGGATGGGCATTCACATCCAACTATGCTTTCTGCAGACCTGCTGAAAGAATCCATGGAACATTATGCCGGTAGAAACTATGCAGAATGTGTTCCAAATAAGAGATATAAAATTGATCAGGCATCTAGGAGGGACTTGAGTTCTGGATTGACTGGTGCTGGATATGAATTATGTAGCCACACAAATTGTTGCTCTATTAGTACTTGTACAAAATCTTATCAGGAGCGGAAATGTTTGAATTTAAGTTCTCCCCTTCAAATTCCATGTCTTGTTACTAGTAGAAGCATTAATAATCAGTGTCTGGCTAGTTCAGGATTCATGTGCTGCTCAAAAGCTAATGTAAAAGCCAGTCCTGGTTTCAAACTAAATGCAAAGAAAGTATTGTTGGAGTTCATGCCTGAAAGTTTTTACAAGTATGAGGTGTGTCATGTTTCTTCTCCTTTTAATTTCTCCTGATTTTACTGTAGGGATGAGGAAATTATCCTCTGTTGCTTAACAATGTAAAACAAGGATGTTTCATTTTGATCTATGTTGCAGTTATTGAGAATTGGTGGGTATTACATCATAAAGCACCATGATGAAGATATGCTACGTCGTGTTGAGGACGTTAATGATATCAGCTGTGGTAAAGTTGTTATCACTTCTAGAACATATCTTCGGAGCCTTTCATTCTCTTTCGATGAGATTCTCCCAAATAATGAACTAGCACAACTTCCTAGATTTGTTGATTCATTTGTCGGCAATACTGAGGAGCTCTTTGAATGTCCTCATCAAAACGATCTTCCACTCTTGAGATTGAATAATCAGTTTATTGAAATTCGTCCAGATATCTGTGTTCACCTCTCTACTGATGTTGCAAGGTGTTTGAAGGAAGATCTTAAGGTATTGGATGAAGTTCTGGTTATGCCATCTGTCTCACTCAAAGAACTTGCTAACATTTCTTGGTGCAATGGGACCATGATCACTGGATCAGTGCATTCTTGGGGAACTTCTGATCCTGAATTCCAATTGCCAGAGGGGAATTTAATATCTTTCCATGGACATGTGTTGGCTGTTCATAATTCCGGCTGCAGTTCTTTTGCTGCAAATCCAAGGCATAAAAGTCACCCTGATGTTCATTGGGCAAAATTCTTTCAAGTGACAAACAGTGTCTGTATCCATGTTTTGGTGGACCATCACATTGTAATATTCCCTGTTTTTGCCTTATCTGGCATCTTGTATTTCGATTTACGTTATCTTATTTCATTGTTTCAATCAATTAGGTAAGGGTTTTTGGTACCCTAAGTAAACATGCTTATCCTATTGGATTTGGGCCTGGCATCGTTGCAGCTTTTCACCGAATACTTGTTTTGAGGTATGTGTTTGGCGATATATGCGGGCCATTATGTTTGTGCTTTATACATGGGAGTATTGTCTTCATGTTGGATGATTTGATGTGTTGGTGATACGTAGCTTATTGAGTGCAACTTCTATATTTATTATCGCCTTCAATCCCTCCCACCCACTTGACTCTCCAGGTCAAGACCTTACATTTTCTGCAGCCTCAGATACTGTCTTCAGCAGCTCAGATGAGGACCTCCTCCCCACCGACCCACTGAAAAAGAAAAAAAGAGCTTCAAATTGTCAACATGCCCTAAAACTTGATTACCTCTGCAAATCATCAGATTCTCGCCCATAGTTCAATTGGCTATTAGTAGCATACCATCACATAAATACATAATCAACATTTCTGAATAAAATATAAGAGATAATAATTGTAATTGCATAAAATTGTAATTCTAATCTTAGGGAACTTCAAATGGTGTTTTATGTTCAAAATTGTACTGTAATTCTAATTTTAGGTAACTTCAAGTGGTGTTTTATGTGCTTCTCCCTTGGTTGGAAACCATAGGGATGTCTTATTTGTATACACTCACTATTGTCTATTAGTAATGATTCTGTCTTATTAATTTGTTCATTGAGTTAAATTGTTAAAAACAAAGACTTGTTTGGTTGGGTTACAAATATTTTTTTTAAAAATTTTTAGAGCAAAAAATAAAATGCGAATTTTTTTTCTTTTCCTTCTCAATGCTGAAAATTGGCTTTCAGGCCCCTTTTTTGTGCTTTTGTGTGACCCTGGCATGTGGACTTGGTCGTTACTTCATTAAGCATAGATTATGTAAGGAAATATTGATGTTTCCTTGTTTGTTGTGTTTGATCTGGACAAGGAATATTGATATTGCATTTGATCCAAGTTCACAGTACATAGTTTGTTATCAACTTTGAGTTCTGTTTTCATGTCTTTGATATCAGGAGTTTGTGTTATATGCAATTAAAGTTTCCTGTTAATTATACGTTCCGATTAATTACTGCATTTTGTTATTCCAGTGAAAGGAATGAACTTATCCTGACGCCTACATCTTTCAATTAAAGTTTCCTGTTAATTATACGTTCCGATTAATTACTGCATTTTGTTATTCCAGTGAAAGGAATGAACTTATCCTGATGCATACATCTTTCATTGCGATCAAAGCCAGAAGAGTAATCAGTGACCAATTCAGTGATAATTACAATAATCCATCAGTTGCTTCAGGCCTATGCAGTGTTGCATCTCTCAATGCTCGTCCTTCAGCTTTAATTTCTGAAATAATGCAATATGCAGACTATAAACCAATGCAGTTTCGTTGCAGGGTACTCCTCTCCTTATTAGTTGATTGTTCCCAAATGGATGGTTACTATCTTAGAGGTCAATGCTTATCTTCTGAATCGTTGGTGTCTCCTGATGTAGCTGTTGTTGATTTTGATAGGTTGTGGCTATTTATGTTCTGGTGCTGGAGAAGAATGGAAAGAGCGTTCATCCCTACTTAAGAATTCACTCCAGCTCACCTGTGGTAAATATACCTCTAGCTGGTTTTGTATTGGGTATGTCCTTTTGTCCATGGTTTATTCTCTTCTAGTGTCTATTAAATTTTTAAACTCCAAGAACTAAAAAAAAACAAGAATAAAGAGACGTGATATCTAGAACTTTGTCATGATTTCATCATATCTTTGTTGCCTCCTAGTTTGGCAGTCATTGAATTCTTCAATCCTATGCCCTAATAATAAGTTACAGTACTGGTTAGATGGTTAAATTGCATTATTACAAGGACAATATTGGTGACATATTGATCTCCACCATATCCAAATTGTTAAAACTCTTCATATTCTTGTGTCTTGCATGTGAAATTTCAATAATTCAAGCCCCCATCTTTGCTTTTTATGTAGTTTTCAGCTACACGAGACTCTTCCCTTCATACACTTGTCAACTGAAAATGTTGACATTCCTGTTGGTTTTGTAGATATTAAAAAATAAAGAGTAATGCTATACAAACAAAAAATTTATACATAATGATATGATTTATTGTGTACCTTTCACTTCTAAACAAAGCAGCATTGAAGATAGATTTATTTACAATAATGGTATTGCTACATTATTGTTATCAAGTTTTTTGTAAGAATAGAATTTTTGTAAACTAAATATTTACTATCTCACTTTCTTGTGCAGATGATGGATCATCCTCGTGTTGTTGCTGGGTAAATAGCAATAAGGCAGCAACCTTATTGAGGCTAGACGAAGAAATTTCACATGAAATTACCGGAAGTATCCAGGGGTCAAAGAAGATTAGGGTAGATGAGGCCTGCATCTCCACCATTCATCATTTAGATAAAATTTTAAAGAAGCATGATAGAGTTATCGTGAAAAACTATGGATCCATGTTTGACTCTCCAGGTCAAGACCTTACATTTTCTGCAGCCTCAGATACTGTCTTCAGCAGCTCAGATGAGGACCTCCTCAAGTTGGTAATCCTCAATGCTTGCTTCAGCACCTTTTGGGTAAGTTCATATTTGGCCACTTGTGTTGTTGGTTTCAAAATAATTTATTTCCGTTTTGCATTTTTGAAAACAAAAGTAATGAAAATTCAGAAACACCCATTATTTTCATGTCACTTTCATTTGTGTGAAAACAATTTTCAAAAAATCATATTATAAATTTAAATTGTTTCCTAAAAAGGAGTGTATTCAAAACTTTCCTGAGATGGGTTTTTGAAAACAGCTTGCCAAACAAGTTTATCATACCAATTTTTGTTTTGTTCTGTTTTTGAGAAAAGGAAATAGAAAACGAAAAGAGTACTGAATGGCTATTTGAAGTCTGAGCTGACGATTTGGCCATGTAAAGTGGATTCCTTGACCAATTTTTTTTGAAGACTAGAACATATAATACCCATTTTGGTTATTGAGGTCTTTTCTCCTTTGTGTTGGCAGACGGTTGTTGGTAGTCGGATGGATTCAAATGCTATGGGGCAGTTAGAGAAACGGTTGGTGGAAATGGAGATGACAATGCATCCAATGGAAAATATATGGGCTAGAGAAGTTTATTACACAAACCCTCTCACTGAAGCAAGAAAACTAGCTCGAGAACTCCTGAACTAGAAATTGTTGTGATATTACTGATCTTTTTCAAATGAAATACAAGTCTTGATTTGCAACATACATGTATTCTTCAACAGCACAATGTTGGTGAGTGTATACGTTTTGGTAATTTTTCAGCCCAATACATGGATATTGGCTTACGAACATGTACAAATGTACTTGTAGCTAGCTATTTAAGTATACTAAGTGTAATTTATACATTAACATTGTATAAATGTAATCTGTTCTGCCTTGCTGGCTTATTTCCTTGTTCATGCCCTGTTCGTAGTGTGCCAAATACATGCTGGAATTGGTGAGAGATACTATAATACTCAAATCTCCATAAACTCTCTGAAATACAATCAAGTTGACTGTAATAACCTCATTTTCAACAACCATGTCCTTAACCTGTTGTAGTTTACTGAATGTGCAAAGTTCAAACATAATACCATTCAATCAAAAACCTTAATTGCATTTTAATTTTTTTGTTCTATTTTGGGGATGAGAAAGAACTAGCAATTTGGAAATAGAGGGTGTTGGACTTCATTTTAGTTTTCTGTTCTCAAAAATGGAAAAAATGAATTGATGCAATTTGTCCACAAAAACACTGCTATTTTGGAAACATTTTATATTTGTATTCTAAATTTTCAAAAACTTTATTCACATTAAATATTATAAAATAATAATAAAAAAAAAAGAATTCTTTGTTGGGAAGTTTTTGTGTTGGGTTTTTTTTGATTTTTTTTACTAAAAGACAAACTTTTTGCAAAATAAAAAAAAATAAATCCAAACAAAATATCACATTTAACTCCATAATCATTTCATTTTTTCTCTCACAAACATCACATCCAATTATAAAAAACCCCAGCTATCTTCCCAAACACAAAAAAAAATTTCTCTAATAATATCCTACAACTAAAAAAACCTACATAAAAACCCACTTCCCAAATACCCACTTAATTTTCATTGTTTTTGTTTGGAGGACATGAAAAGGGAGGGAGGGAGGACATTAAATTTTATGATCCATCCTCTTCATCTTGTGTGATTTTGCTGATTGGCATAATAGGCAATGTTAAAATCCACCTACTCTCTACCTACTTCACCAACTTAAACCTACTCCACTAAACCTAACCCACTACACCACTATCACCTCACCTACTCCACTAAACCTAACCCACTACACCACTACCACCTCCACTTCACATTTTTTATGGGTCCGACAAGACTCTGTAAACTGTCCCGACATTGATTCCGGTTAGCTCTTTCATGGGTCCGACAAGACTTTGTAAACTGTCCCGACATTGATTCCGGTTAGCTCTTTCATGGGTCCGACAAGACTTTGTAAACTGTCCCGACATTGATTCCGGTTAGCTCTTTCATGGGTCCGACAAGACTTTGTAAACTGTCCCGACATTGATTCCGGTTAGCTCTTTCATGGGTCCGACAAGACTTTGTAAACTGTCCCGACATTGATTCCGGTTAGCTCCTTTATGGGTCCGACAAGACTCTGTAAACTGTCCCGACATTGATTCCGGTTAGCTCCTTTATGGGTCCGACAAGACTCTGTAAACTGTCCCGACATTGATTCCGGTTAGCTCCTTTATGGGTCCGACAAGACTCTGTAAACTGTCCCGACATTGATTCCGGTTAGCTCCTTTATGGGTCCGACAAGACTCTGTAAACTGTCCCGACATTGATTCCGGTTAGCTCCTTTATGGGTCCGACAAGACTCTGTAAACTGTCCCGACATTGATTCCGGTTAGCTCCTTTATGGGTCCGACAAGACTCTGTAAACTGTCCCGACATTGATTCCGGTTAGCTCCTTTATGGGTCCGACAAGACTCTGTAAACTGTCCCGACATTGATTCCGGTTAGCTCCTTTATGGGTCCGACAAGACTCTGTAAACTGTCCCGACATTGATTCCGGTTAGCTCCTTTATGGGTCCGACAAGACTCTGTAAACTGTCCCGACATTGATTCCGGTTAGCTCCTTTATGGGTCCGACAAGACTCTGTAAACTGTCCCGACATTGATTCCGGTTAGCTCCTTTATGGGTCCGACAAGACTCTGTAAACTGTCCCGACATTGATTCCGGTTAGCTCCTTTATGGGTCCGACAAGACTCTGTAAACTGTCCCGACATTGATTCCGGTTAGCTCCTTTATGGGTCCGACAAGACTCTGTAAACTGTCCCGACATTGATTCCGGTTAGCTCCTTTATGGGTCCGACAAGACTCTGTAAACTGTCCCGACATTGATTCCGGTTAGCTCCTTTATGGGTCCGACAAGACTCTGTAAACTGTCCCGACATTGATTCCGGTTAGCTCCTTTATGGGTCCGACAAGACTCTGTAAACTGTCCCGACATTGATTCCGGTTAGCTTCTTCATGGGTCCGACAAGACTCTGTAAACTGTCCCGACTTTGATTCCGGTTCGACTTTTCATGGGTCCGACAAGACTTTGTAAACTGTCCCGACATTGATTCCGGTTAGTTTCTACAAGGGTCCAGCAAGACTCCGTAAACTGTCACAGGCTTTATCTGCTACCACAGTCTGCCACAACCATACAGTGTCTTCTACACCGTTATGACAACACCATACAGTGTCCTCTACATGGTTATGACACCCCCATACAGTATCCTCTACAACGTTATGACACCACCATCCAGTGTCTTCACCAATGGTCTGACACGACCATACAGTGTCTCTTATCCTCTTTTATTTTTATGTATTTTCTTGTTTTGTTACTCTCTCCAAACTCAAGTTGGTTAGTTCCTATCCCCCTTGAGTTTGCGGGGGGCTGTTAAAATCCACCTACTCTCTACCTACTTCACCCACTTAAACCTACTCCACTAAACCTAATCCACTACACCACTACCACCTCACCTACTCCACTAAACCTAACTCACTACACCACTACCACCTCCACTTCACCTACTCCTTACCTACTACACACTCACCCTCTTCTATATATAGGAATCATGAATCATTGTAATAGATATGAATAACAACATCAATCAATATATACATAATTGGTTCTCTCTCTATTTCTCTATACATCAATTTTAACAGGCAACCTAAAAAAATTCCACTTATCACAATTCATGGATCTATAATTTAAACACTGCTCTGTAGGACATAAGAATGCATCTTTTACAGCCATTTGAAACTAGTTATGCATTCAGTGTTCTAATGTAGCAACTGCAAGAAAGACTAACTCAAAACATTCTGTTTTATTAACTTCTCTCACATAAAATGGGTGAAGTTTTCCTTCAGTTGGCATAAAACATAGAATTGACATTTAACAATTAACTATTCGGGGGACGCTTCATTTTGAGGAGATGAGAAACACCTGCGACTACATGTAACCGGCTGCTTGGGACACCCGTCTTCGCTAATGCCCTGCCATATTTGTCCAGTAGTACAAAGCAAGGTACATACCTTATGTCATAATGGAGAAGCTGCATGGAAAACAAGTAAAGATTGTTCAGCCAAAGCACTATAGTAATTCTAAGATTATGCAGAAACTACTGAAAAACATGAAGGATCCAAAAGAATGGAGCTAAAAATATGAATACTTGATAATATTTCACATTCCACTTTAAACCTCTTGCAAACCTTTTTTTGTCTTTTAAGCTTTCACAACAATCTCAACAACTTTTGATTCCACTACGCAAAGACGAAAAATTGAACAACAATCAATCTAAATTGAACCTTCAACGAAACAAGAGTTAAAGAAGAGTATTCAACAGATAATGAACCTTCTATGGATTTGAAGAGCAGAAATAGACTGAAAAGACTATTGATCAAGGAACTTGCTTTGCTAGGTCTTCCACAATAAGTATTCAACAGTGCATCAACTCACAAAGACATTTTTCACTTGCAAAGCTAGCAGCAGGGTACTCCATAAAAATGAACATGCAATTCCTAATGCAGAGATTTGTCTAATTTTATGACTTGAAGTCTTGCACCTTTGAATAAGCTTAGGAGCATTTCTGGCCTACTCAAAGAAGGGTGAAAATTAACTTGCACGTGTCCTCAACTCTGGGAAATCAAAACATGGTTTTCGACAGAAACTGAATAAGTGGCTCAGATGTCACTGTTGTAGCTCATAAAAAGATTAGTGTCATCACCACCTCCTTCGATATTTACCTCCAAAAAAATCCTTACTGTCGTTCCATTCTGTAATTGCATAAACCAAACCAAGCCTGGTGTCCCAATCAAGTGGGGTCGGCTGCATGAATCTTTTTTTACCATTCAGCTCTATCAAGGGTGATATGCTAAGTTAAATTAAATAAATTCGTATCTTTTTTCACTTCCGCATTAATGTCAACTTAGGTCTTCCCCTCCCTCTAGCATCTCCATCTATGGTTAAGCAAGATAACAGCCAATGGCCCCGTTTGGTAGAACTGTGGGAAAGTTATTATAACTTATAGTTTAACAGCTTATAGCTTATAACTGTGAACATAAGTTGATTATTGACTTATAAATTAAGTTTCTCCTCTTCCACTCAAAGAATAAGTTCATTTTTGACTTACAAAAAGCTATAAGTTGTATTGTTAAGCTGAACCAAACACATCAAAATAGCTTAAATTAAGCTAAAAGCTGAAATAAGCTGGAAATAAGCCCTACCAAAACAGGGCCAATATATATTTGAAAACCTAACAAGGAAAATGATACATGTGTATGTACCACATTGTTCATTGTTTTCAGTCACCATCAACACAGATCATAGGAGATGATGATACATATATACTAAACTTGGAGTGCAAAATATAATATGAAAACATGAAATTGCTGTCTCATATAGAAAACCTCTAAACTTGGGCACATCATAAAATTTCATAAATGGATAAAAAACTTAATCAGGAGGAAGTCTTCTTAAGTGAGTACCTCAGGCAACCATTTCTCGTTCTCTGCATCAGCCATGGCAATATTGAGCCAGTCAGAATTCCTATTCTCTACTTCCAAAACGAAATTAAGCAAAGAATTGCAAAGCCTGCATTTAGGTGAGTAAAACTCAAGTATTGTAGCTTCTTTCCCACTCGCTAGTGCAGAGGCTAGGGCTCTCTGCTCGGCTTCTCCTTGTTCTTCAGGAGTCAAGACCTTGATTGTTTTCAAACTGTTTTTTGAGCTGATTCTGGGTTTTCCATGTAGTTCAAATGGGTTTTTCATCCACGGATGTGGGGATTTTGACATTGACATTGAATTCACGAAACTGAAAGCCACAGATCCAAGTGTTTGGAGAGATTTGAATAGCCAAGGAGTCTCAAGGTTGCAGGTATTGGGATTTTTAGGGTTCTGGTGGGCATCCCATGGCCATTTTAAGCAAAACAGAGGATGTTTGGGAAAAGAATCCATCTTTTCCTCCAATTTCCTTTCCCTGTATTCAATATATTCTCCAGCAGTGGAGATTTGTAGAGCGACACTGACCAGTCCCCAAATTTCTCTCTTTCGGCACAACAATGCAATGCAAGAAATCTGGAAGAAATGCAAAATGAAGGCACATCATTATGGGAAACAAATTCATAGATAAACAATCAAAGCTAAATTTGGGTTATTCTCATTGAATGATTAATGTCAAATCCATGCATTTCAAATCTACATCCATCTAAAAGGACCATTACATACATAAACTCTGTTTGTTCATTCCACAAACACAAAAAAAAAAAAAACGCTAATTCAAAAAAATAATTGTCGAAAAAAATAATTTTTTTATTTTTGAGATTCAAGAACTTCCAAAAATAATTCTGTGGGTGGGAATTGAATTCACGGGGCAGTTTGTTCTCACATGTAAAACAGAAACCAAAAAAAAAAAAGAAAAAGGAGAAATTAATGAAGAAGCAAATAACCCAGTCACTCTACCACCAATGTTTGCTGTGATTACAAATGAAATAAAATTAAATAATGGGTTTTTGTTGATGTTTTATCAAAGAACATAACGAATTGGTATTGCTTCGAGGAATTTACATGAGCTACTTGAGTTGCTCAAATAACAACAGTTCCTTATTAAAATGACCCAAAAAAGAATTGATTGAATATTTTGCCTCCTTTCCTCACCGGATTCGATTGGGGTTGGGTTGGACTGCTCCAGTGGCTGCGGCAATTGCGATTGCGGGGGCTAGATTGGATTGCGTCGGTGGGTCGGGGAAGGGTTGTGGTGGGCAGTCGTTGTGGTCACAGCTATAGGCAGCGGTGGCATGGCTGTGCAGCCGCAACGGTGATGGTTCTTGGTTCTTCTCCTCACGCTCGTGGGAGAAAGAGAGAGAGAGAGAATAGGGGCTTAGGCATCTCCAATTAAATTTGAGTAAAAATTTAAGTATTTTAGTGGAGATTTTTGAAGTTTTATCATAACATGGTTGGTTGATTGGAAGGATGCTCGGATGGATGTTAGTCGGTCAATCAGTTAGCGTAAATTTTTTATAAATATTTACCTTGAAGCGGTCATTTAGAGGGTTGATTCGGAGGACGAAGGGTCGGATCCGTCCGATCGACTAGTGAGTATAAATTTTTATAAATTTTTGTTTTGCAGTAGTTATTTGAGAAATATCTAGGGAGGCATCGGTGATAAAAATCTAACGGTTATGAATATTGATTTAATGAAAGACACATTTATTCTCAATTTGAAGAAAAATTTAAGAAATGTTGAATTTTATGAATCATTAAAGTAGTAAAAAGTAAGGTTGCGTTTGGTAGAATTTTGTAAATATGATTTGAGAATATGAGTTGTATTTTGAGTTTGTGAGTTTTGGAATTACGATTTGAGTGTAGAAAATTTGTTTGGTGAATGAGTTTTGAAAATAGTTTTAAAAAGAATTTTTAAATTGAGTGATGTGACATAATTTTTATATAAAAACTTACAACTCATAACTAAACACACAACCCAAAATTCTATTCAAAACTCATAAAAAATAAAAAATAAAATTGAAAATATTTTTTATTTAACATATAAAAATAACAAGTGAAAAAAAAAAATTCAAGAACACTGTTCTGGTTAACCGGTTAGACGACTGGGAGGACGTCCGGGGGACATCCGGGTACACGAATTTTCAAACGCAGGTGTGGAAATGTGTTTTGAAAACGATAAACAAACGTGGCACTCAAACTAAATGGTAGAATCATGATTCAAAAGCTGTACCAAACACAATCTAAGCTTTTTCATCAAATAGATTTGATGAAACCTGTAGAGAGATAATAATATGGGCATAATAGTAATTTTAACATGTTAACTCTGTTAACTGAGGGAGCTTCTATTTGCACACACCATTTACCCTCTTTACACACACTTAATTAATTTTTTTTTATTACATTTTAGTCCAAAAATGAAACTACCAAAATACCCATTTCTTCTTCCAACAAACCCTAACCATCAACCAAAAACATAACCCTAACCCTAACCCTAACCCTAACCATCACTCACCACCATCTTCCATGGCTGCCACCTCTCTTTTCCTTCATCACTGTCATTACCTCTTCCTCCACCACTGCAACTCCCTTTCATCTGCGAATCCATTGCCTTCCTGTCTCTCTTCCCCACCCCGTCGGGCATCGTGGAATCGCCTCATTTTCTTACCATTTGGACTACCAGTGTCGAAAGAATCACCTCTTACAGAAATCAACCATCGAACCAATGAATTTGGTTCGACTATCAACATCTGAACAAAATACATTGGTTCGACCATCAACATCCGAAATCCCTTTTCGTCTGCGAGTCGTCATCGCCTTTCTTTTTGCGACTGAAAGGAGAGAGAGAGAGAGAAAGAGAGAGAAGGGTCGCAATAGCGTAGCCGGTGCTGCGTCGCCGCTGGCAAGGTGGTTGCTAGTTAGGGTTAGGGTTTGATCGTTGCTTACTAGTGTGGAAGAAGGTGTGTGGATTGGGAGTGTGTGTATGGGGATATAACTGGAACAAAATTGTGTGTGATGAGTAAATTTTATTTATTTATTTATTTTTGGTATGTGAATTAACAAGGATGTGTAAAAAGAGGAATGTGTGTGTGTAAATAGAACCTCCCGTTAACTGACTAGGGAGGTCAGTGTGAATAAGAAGGGTGTCATTGTGATTTCAAAATACCAGAACGGGCGTCAGCATGAATTTACCTTACTTGTATTTGACACGGACCTTGTTTTTTATTTGAAAGTAATAAAGTATTGGGTAAATTACAAAAAAAAAAACACTCTATTTAATTTGTTTAAAATATAAATTATTTTTTGTGATTTGTTAAATTATAAATATTTAATTGTCAAAATTTTTTATTTAACAGAATTAATTAAAAAAATAAAATTCTTAACTATTCTCTTATACAATAATAAAATAATTTAAATTTTTAATTAAAATATACTTATAGCATCATTAAAAACTGGTAATTGTTTTAATATTTTTATAATAAATGAAACCATTTGTTATCAAATTAGAAATTTTAAGGGGAGGAATATAATTTCCTAAACTATATGAGCAATTTGTAATTTATTATATACTCTAAAGTATATAATAAAAATAAGTTGATAAAAAATATTAAGAAGAAATTACAAAAAAAAAAATATTATATTTATAACAATTTGTATTTATAACAAAATAAAATTTTAAATTTTAAAATTTTAAATTTAAATTCTAAATTTTTAATTTAAATCATTTGTTGATTTTTGTTAAATAAAATTAAAGGAAGAAAAGGATATTTTGATCATTAAACTCTATAAAAAAGAGTATTTTAAACATTTTAATGTATACATACATTGAGTTTAATGATTAAAATATTTTTTTTTGTTGATTTTACTTAACAAAAATAGACGAATGATTTAGATTAAAAATAAAAAAAAAATTATGTTTTAAATTAACAAAATTTAAAATTTATTTTGTTATAAGGTTCAAATCTTAAAAAAAAAAAAATATTGTAATTGTTCTAAAAATTTAGGGTAAATTACAAATACACCCCCTAAAGTTTGCTTAAAATATAGATTGTCTCTTGTTGTTTGAAAAATTACAAATACCTCCTTATTAGAATTTTTTATTTAACATAATTAACTAAAAAAACGAAATTCATAATTACTTTCTTATATAATAATAAAATTACATAAATTATTAATTAAAACATATTTTTAACATCATTAAAAACTGTTAATTGACTTGATGATTTATAATAAAATGGGCGATTTATTATGAAATTAGAAACTTCAAGGGTGAAATGTAATTTTTAAAACTACAGAGGGCGATTCGTATTTTAATCAAACCTCAGAGATATATTTGTAATTTACCCCAAAATTTAAAATAAAAGGCCCAAACATAAAGCCCCAATCTCGAACCATTGGGGCTTAGCCTCCAAGTTAGATCATTGGACAAGAATTGGGCCTAAAGATTTTGGTCCTCAAGCAGCCCAATCTAGCCTTGGTACCCAAAAGAAAAATAGAAATAAATAAATAAATAAATAAAAGAAGGAGGTCAACGTAGGGGCACACATGGATATCAATTTTGGGGCGGCCCAACCGACTTGACCCGATGTTAATCATTGTGGATTGTACACGTCACTGTCAAACAACTGTATGATGTGATTGGGGAGTGGGCTCCACATAAGGCCCAACCAAACCGTAAGTAGAGAAGAATAATAATAACAATAGTAATAATTAAAACTTAAGAAAAAGCAGTTGGTTTTTCAGCTTTAGCTTTCCTCATATGGGTTGGGTGTCCCGGCCGCCATGAACACGTTTGAAATATGGAACACGCAAACGTACCATAATATAGCATGTCTCGTCTTGGTCTTGGTCTTGGTTAACTTAACATTTATTATTAAAGCTACGTTACAACAAAATATATATATATATATATACTTACTTGAGAGAGGGAGAGAGGGAACTCTGTTTCCACACTCCACAAGGACAAAGAAAATATACATTGTGTTTTTCACCCATTGGGGTGTTTGGAAATTTAAAATTGAGGCTAAAATAGTCTTAAATATCAAAAAAAAAAAAAATTAAATAGTCTCAAATAGTATTCTAAACTAATAATTTATATTTATATAAAAAAAAAAAAAACAAAGACCAAAGCAGTCGACAGTGGGCAGAGGGCAGGGCCAACCTAGTCTCACAGGCTAAAATGACACTTTTGTCCCTATAGACCAATTTTGAAAAAAATGAAGTTAGGGACAAATATGTCATTTCAACCTCAAATATCATTTCAAACACATTTTTCAATACAAAATTCAAATAAAAGTCCATCATATTTTCCAAACACAAAAACTAAAATAGTCTACTAAAATAGTCAAAAAACTAAAAAAACTTTTTAAATTGCCACTTCCCAAACACCCACATTTACTTTCTCACGGTTCAAAGAATTGAATCCTCTCCTCCCCTTCTTCTTGTCATCATGGGATGCTCAAATTATTGTCCATAGTTTTGTTTGGTTAGGTATGGTTTTGATAATCTTGTCTTGTCATATTTTTTCAAAAATAAAAAGGATGTTTGTCGTACATCAAAATTTTGAAAATATATCTATATACATATATGTTTAGTGAATTTTTAAGGTGGTTGTTTACAGTGAAAGGTGGACGAAAATCTATAATTATGATCTTAAATTTTAGCCAACTTATGCAAAAATTCACAAAAATTGGGATTTAGACTAATGTGAACCGGTTAAAATTTAGATTAAAAAAACGAAAATTCAAAAATCAGAAAGAATTGATTTAAAAATCAAGAAAAATGGCTTTTTAATATTTTCTATTAATTTTAATGAAAAGTAGGCTGAATTTTTTAAAATTTGACAAAGAATTTTCTCAAAAATACAAAATATTAAAAAGTTTCAAGTTTTTTTTTAAAATTCAAAAATAAGGTTGGAAATTTCAGAAAATCACTGAATTTGGTGAAAATTCACCTTTAAAACCGCGTGTGCAACACTTTCTTTTCTCCTATAAATTTTCTTATAGGCTGCCCAAATATGCCATGGATGAAAAATCTTAGCATATAATTTAATTTTTTTTCAAATTTAAAAAGAATAAAGTTTATCGTAGAGAATAACCGACTTTCATAATGTATTAAATTATTTATTTACAAAAGACTTGGAATGGGCCACAACCCGCAAGATCATTGAATAAGGACACCATGAGTCATAAGTCTCGATGAATAACATTACAGACCCAAAAAACAAAGCTCATAGTAAACATAACTTTTGTGGCACAATGACTTTTAACTATTTAGGGTCTCATCTCCAAAATTGAATTTACAGTTCATTAATTCCTATGTCCAAAATTTGAGCAATATAAATCTTATGGTGTTAAAAACTTACTGGGTATGTATAATTTATAGAAATTGTTTCTAATTTTTTTTTTTTAATTTTAAAAATCT